TTCACTTTCTTTTCCCGTCCCCGAAAATAAGTCCAATCACTGTCCTCCTTATTTATTACCACTAATCTTGTGTGCATAGCGAGTTTGGCTACGATCAGCGAGGTTCGCTTCACTGTACGACGATGTTGACGATGATCCACGTTCGTTTCCATGCGAGTAGTCTCAACATCATTTTGGTATGGGCTGGTTCTGTGAATATTTTCTTCTATTATTTTTTCTCATAAAACTGATCTCCTTGTATTTGTAGCTGGCTGGAATTTCTACGGTGACGCTATTGTTCAACCCGAATTCATCCGTCTGACCAACGATGTGCGCAGTCAGCAGGGTGGTATCAGCAGCACGATGCCAACCACCTATGTCAATTGGGTAATACAGATCATATTTCATGTACATGGCGAAGGAAAGCATTTGTACGGTGATGGATTTGCCTTCTGGTACACCCAAGATCCCATAACCTTTGGTATGTTTCATCCGGCCCTCTCGGCTTATGTAATGTCGGTACTTTCGCAGGAAATGCATTTGGTGCACCACCGAAATTCCGTGGTTTAGGTGTCTTCTTCGATACCTATGCTAATCAAAACGGCCCGCATACCCATGAACATCCATATATCAGTGTAATGGTAAACAACGGGTCCGCTTCTTATGATCACGATCGCGATGGAACACTAACTGCCGTGGCCGGATGTTCCAGTGACTTCCGAGGCAAGCCCTACTCAACAGCTACCATTAGCTTTATCGATAATAAGCTCACCGTAAGTTGGTCATTTTCTAGTTTTTATTTTCGATTCATGCAACAGCATGTCGTCAAAACTCAAGCTTTAGAATGAACTCGTTAGAACTTTGGTAAGAAATATGTGACACCAAGTTGGTCAACAGCACAGATTTCCACTACCAGCGCGGGCTTGAAATTGAGATTCTCGTTGATTTTAGTCTGTAACAGCAATTCAAATCCCCATATAAACACTGTTCCGAGGAGCCACTAAACTCTACTTTCCCCTGATGCACTACTATACTCCTTTCGGAAGGACCTTATTTAGAGTCCTTTTGCAAATTTTGTTGTTTCGTGCTTTAGCTATAACCATTGACTGACCGTCAAACACTGGGTTACTGCGCGTTCTTTTGGACTGCTTGACACTCGTCGAAGCACCTCTCCAAGTAATGAATAGAGCACACTTCACAGGATTCTCTGTACTGAACTGAAACGGTTCCTAAATAGGACCGAGAGACCTGGTGGGCACAGTGGTGGTGGTGCAGTGGTTCAATGGCTATCACCGGCCTGCTTTGGACCCTATGGTTCGAGCCACGCCACCGCCACCCAACTTTGGTGGTGGGCAGCTTTGCTATCGTCCGGTTCTACACTACGCCTGACCTATCGGGGCCTTATGTGGTTCGCCACTCCAAGTCCCGGGGATCAGGTTACCGGTTACCATCACTGTACAGCAGGTCCTCGTGACTATGGGGTTTACCCCGTCTACTGTTCATTAAACGAACAGTGTGTAATAAAAAACGCGTTTCTGAGGTGGAACCAACCACTACTTCCGGTAATGCTCACAAACGTTATCGACCAATCCAAGCCACCGGTAACAAAAACCATATGTCGATGAAACCATATGCAAAACTAATAGCGAGTGTATCCACAAACTACTACTTTGTGCGTCTTCTTGCAACCTTAGCCCATTGAAATTCTCAATTTTCTCTTCCATTCTACTTTCAACAATCCTGTCCTTCTACTGCTTCATCCAAATGAGGAGACAAAAGACAGCAACGCCAACCGGCGCACGAAACTGCGTGGTTTATGGTTGTACAAACTGAACTGAAACTGAACGTCGGCTTGGGCGCTGAGCGGAGCATCAAGAATTCAGTTGGCTGTTTTCATCTCCATCTTCCGATGTACGCAGTGCTGTATGGTCTGTGGACATTTCATCGCCTACCAAGTAAGAAGTTTCTCGAGAGCTCAGACTTTTAAACGCTACATCGCCCGGTCCAGATGGTGGTGCAATTCTTGTTCAAAAACTAACTTAGTTATTGCAAACCATCTGAACTACTGAATCCATTCTATCCGAATGGAGTTTGGCAGACGTAAATGTTTCCAAGACCGGCGCCCACCGCGATTGCTGCAATCACCGAGGTATCCAAGGTGTTAACATCATCGATTCTTCGCAGGCTCAGTTGGACGAGAAAGCGTCATATCCGCGAAAAACAAGCAGGGTTCCGCTCCGACCGGAAGTGCATTGAACACATATTTACCGGACTTCAGATTCTCGAGCAGCGTCGGAAGTTCAGTAGATCGACCATCGCTGTCTTTTCGGACATACGTGCTGCGTTTGACTCCGTTGTCAAACCCCTAAAGTCTTAGGCATCCATTTGGAAAATCATCGTTCCCATCTGTCTAGTTCTTCTTCTCAATCCCAAATAATCCCAGCTGTCTCCTGTTTACGAGACCCATCGGATATCACTCAGCGTTCAACTAATAAGGTCAGCCACTCAGAGGCTACCAGATTTTTGAAACCAAAATCCCCCTTTCACTTAGCCGCACTCAATGTCCGCACACTACCAGCTCGGTCAACTAGCCGCCTTAGCTAGAACCCTTGAAAGCTTCCATTCTGACGTATGCTGTGTCTCCGAAACGCGCATACAAGACCCTACTTCAGTATTTGTATTTTTGTACTTTGTATTTGTATAAATTGTGCAAGCATATATGCTTACATTTCAGTTGAAAATGTACACTGTTCGTCACGCAGAGTGAAATAATAATAATAAAAACGAAAGGTAAAGAATGTCGGTGATATATGTTTCATGTAAAAAACTTTTGACGTAGTTCATTTGAGACCTGTTCCTTTTTGGTAAGTAGTCGGGCCAAGTAGGGTACAGGGGATTTTTTTATAGATGATAATCCGAGAGGGTAGCCGTCGAATTGACGAGCGTGTGGACGGATGGGAACGACAAGACGGTAGGTCAGGGTGTGGTGGATGAGGAGGATGATCCAAATTTAAAACAAGAGTTGATGTGACCATCAATGAGTTCCGTGATTAATAAATCGATTGGGATTTATGCTGCACGGCTGATTGCCACCAAGCCACGGCGAATTATTTTGAAGTCTTGTTTTAAAAGACCCGGAAACACCACAGGGGAGCAATAAAGTAGAATGGGTAAAACGCATTGATGAGCGAAAGATGACAGGACTAACCTTGGCTTCGGAATTGCCTGAGTTTGCGTAACTGAAAAAATATGCTTCTCAGTTTTCCCATACAGTTGTAGATATTTGTAGATCAACGAAGGTTACTGTCGATGGTGATACCCAGGTACTTGACTGAGGTCATTCTGGATACAGGTCTATCGTTAAGAATAGCAGAGTCCGTTGGAAATGAGGAGCGGGAAAGACTGAAAATACACTCTACGCACTTAGATATGTTAAGACTGAGACCAGATTGATCAGAAAACTGTTGGATGTGGGATAGGTTTTCAGCAAAAGAATGAAATTCCGAAGGAGATGAAACTGTCTGAGACAAAACAATGTCATCAGCATACTGTTAGATGTGCGCAGGGGGTGGGACTGAAAAATCACTAGTAAAGACAGAAAAAATATATGTAGATAGAACAGCACCTTAAAGGACACCAGAATTATTAACAAGTGGTTTTGATGTCCTCCTTCCTAATTTGGTGTTTCGATAATCGCCTCCGGCAGGCCCAGGGAAATTCCTCCCTTTATGCATTGATAGTGGTAGTATGGAATTATTTTTTGTTTGTGTATGCATTTTAGTTTGATGGACGGGTACTTCCAGCATGTCCAGCCTCTAAGCAGGAGAATAATTAGGGTTCTCGTCCAAAGCCTTTAGTTCTAACAAGAACCCAACCGCAATGCAGCGAGTAAAGCGAAGTAGAGGTCCATTTACTTGGATCGATCACTCCTCTACCATTTTACCGACTGAGACGCTAACTCTAGTCTAACCTCCAAGCTCGGCGACCAGGAGACTGAACTTCGTCCGACCTCTACCCATTGACCTTTTAGGCATGATTACATCTGCGGCTTGACAAAAGCTATCCTGTGTAGCTCGTTGGGCCATAGAGGTGCATAGGCCATCACACCATGTCAATGTGCAGTCTCGTCATGATGAGAAGCTCCAAACGTCCTGTTTAAGTTAGCATTGTTCGTCACGCAGTTTGCTATGACATTTTCTCCATAGAAATATAAGTTCTTACTACAAGACTGACAAGAGGCTACAGCTATCCTCACCCACACGAGTAACCAGTCGGAAATCTTCCATTACTTTACTTATCTCAGCTCACAAGGACTGACGGAAAAAATGTCAACGCGTATCCTCAATTCTCGGGTGGCTTCCGCTAACCTGAATCACTTGTGGTGCTGACACGATCTCAATCTCATCATGAAAGGTTACATTCACAGTGTGACAATATGCATTGTCTTACTCTGCGGCTGCGAGTGTTAGCCGCTTTACGCCGAAGACGTAGGGAGTTTAAGTGTCCTTGACCACCGTTGCCGTCGTTGCATCGCCAGAATACGTTGGCAATAGCGAGTTACCAACGCTGAGGTTCATCGAAAAATCGTTGCCTCTGACAATCTCACTTGTCCTCCAAGTTCCGTCATCTTGCTCCAGAGACTTCGGTGGCTGGAACATGTGTTGCAGATGCTGGCTTAACGACGTTTTATGTTAGCGCAAGCCGATGCCAACTGGAAGCAGCGAACAGGTGGATAACAAATAGCCGCAGCTCCAATGATGAACACTCCCTGTTAGGGGTCCTGAGAACGGCGAACATTCATATTTCATTTTCAGTTTTCACAACCATTAACCAAGCATTTTCATGCACCGGTTTTGGTCGGTATCTGTTGGCCGCCCATTTAAATAAAAGAACAGAATGAATATTGGAATCTTGGGAGTAAATTCAAGGGGAAGATATAAAATTCATGTAGATTAGGGTTGCACGAATATTGAGTAGATGCGCGACCGCCACTGTTTGCGACAGCGTCTCTATCAGTTACCATGCTCGCCATGCAAGGAGCCTAACGGGACCTAGGTGACCTAGCGTCCTGGTTACGGTTTTCATACCTTCATGCCAGGTCTTAGTTTGACTGCCCTTGACCTTGGTCCAACCGCTGCCTGCCTCGGTAAACGTCGCGCTCCGTGGCAGCCTATTTGGTGGCGTGCACAACACATGTCCCAACCAGCGTTATCTACGNGATCACTTGTTCCAGTGGATGACCGCGATTACCTAAAACCTTGCGCCGGTTTCCCTTTTGCTCGATTTTCCCACCAGACTCGTGCAATGCGACATAGACAGTGATGTTCGAACACCGATAATCTATTTTTACCCTGTTCCCGTAATGGCCAAGTCTCTGCACCGTAAAGTAGCACTTGCCAAACCGAT